ACGGTCGATGGGGAGATCCGCCAGTGTTGCGCCGTCGTCGGCGGGTCGGGGTGGTTCGTCAAAGTTTAGACGTCGGCGTGCAGAGAGCAAGGCCTCGGCTGCCGCCACCTCGTTGTCGTCCGGGGGCGAATTCGGGTCCGGTGGTTCGCCTCCCGGCCCTCCTGGCTGGTCCTCTGCGAGGCAGAAGTCGTCGAGGTCCAACATCAAATCAACATCAAATGAATAGAAATCAAAAGCAGACAATTAGAAATCAAAATCAAGATTGATCTTGAAGCTTTCGACCGTCAGATGGTAGCTCGGATCGATCGACGGGCTACCTTAGCCTCGTCTGAAGCCGTTCAATGTCGTTTTTATGATCCGACGGTATCGATCGCAGAAGAAGCCTTGGAGCAGCTCCCGGTGCGAGGTCGACCTGGTTTAGCCGGTAGGGTTAAGCCAAACGAGCCAAACAGAGTACCTATATTACCTAGGCCCTTCGGTCAAGCTTGACATGAACACTGTGTTGGATACTAGGGAAGTCTATTCTCACATGAGAAACGGGGGTTTGAAGTCGGACCCTACCGGCCAAGGTGACTCCTTGGGTCAAACAAAGGGTTGTAGGGGCAAGAAAGCCGGAACCCCATTTTTCCGAGGGGTCGGTGGGCTGCGAGCAGCAATTTTGATTTTGATTCCTAATTGTTTGATTTTGATTTCAAATTATTTGATTCTGATTTCTAATTATTTGATTTTGATATCAAATTATATGATGTTGATTTCAAAATATACGATGTTGATTTCAAATAGGTAATTATATGTCTGTGATTCCGAATGGTTGCAACGTTTGCGCTGCAATACTGCGCGCCGCCTTTAGTAGTAACATTCTTATCCGGTACGTACCTACTCCAAGGATAAGTAGGTACCGCATGTATGGGCGTGTTGGCTGCGCTAGCGCTGCTTTCCCTTCTCTGAACTCTTGAAGTTGAAGTACAGGAAGTAGGAAAGGGATACGGCCCCAGGCAGCGCTCATGAGGGAGGATGGTGACGGCAGCAGCTTCTTGCTGTAAGCTTTGGCCTGGCTTTCACGCCCACAACTTTGTCTTGAGCGACGAACCGGCATATCCTCGAATGTTGTATAAGAGCAGCCTGTGCAAGTTGCAGCATTTGCTGATTGTTGGGAGCGGGCACGCGGGTGGGACCAAGAAGAGCTCCTCACGAGTGGGCAGAGTGGACGACAGCGAAGTCCTTCCTGGAAGGACGTCGGGCAAAGCTGCGAGGGCGTTCAGTGAGAGGGGGGATGTCGGGGTTCAGGCACCGGACCAAGAGGGTTCCTTGCAAGAGTGGGAAGAGATACGCCGGCGCGCAAGCAGCGGTGCGGACGCGTCCGTGTCCTTCTCTCCGCCCGTTCAGCCGGCCTGGGAGAGAGCGACGGGGGCCCAAGAAGCACGCGCACGCAGCCACCAGCAAAAGAAGAAGGCGGGCAAGGCGGCTGAGGTCAATGGGCACCGCGTGCCAGCGGGAGAGACGCAGCGCCCGCGCACAGAGCAGGAGGGGGAGCAGCGGCCCCACAAACCTGCCAGGGCTTCGATGGATGCGCGCACTCGGGCCTCGCGGGGTCGCGTGCAAGTTGCATTTGACACAAGGGACAGCAAGTTTTTTGCAATGGCGGAAGACCCGGAAGAGCAGCGGGGCGCAGCGCACCCTCCGCAGAGGAGCACCATTACCAGGAATCGGTCATCCCTGGGGAGTAACAGTGCGGGGCTTCCGGGAGACGCTGCATCAGCAAATGGTGCCAAAGGAGGAAGCATGGAAGCTTGCGAGATGGAGGATGCTGCGAGTGCGGCCCTGGGGTTAGAGATTGGAAGAGTGTACGATATGCGCCGAAGCACAAGCAGCAAGGCACGGAGGGAGCGACGGAGGGGCAGAGTACGGAATGCTGCAGCGAGCCTGGAGACACTCGAACGAGGGGGTCACGCACGGGATGCCAAAATCGTTTCAGACGCAGCCTTGGGGGCTGGCATTGAACTGGAGGATTCGGAAAGAGGTAGGTCGAGGACAGGTCCTGGGGAGCAGCCAGGACGCAACGGCAGCGCAGGCCAGGCTGTGCATAGTCAACGGCGGGCGCCGCATTTGCAGTCCCCTGAAGACGTTGTCCTCAGTAGGGGGACAGATTATGCCCTGAAGAATGCCCCTGAGAAGGAGGCGCAACGCGTTGTTGGCCAGCGGGCCGTGAAGCAGGTGGTGGCGGCGCTGCAGGGGCTGTCACGCACGGAGGGCGCAGCGGAGGTGTTACAGCGATGGCGCGGCCAGTTGCGCGTAATTGACGCCAACCAGGTGGTCAAGGAACTGGGGCGAGAGGGGCGCTGGCGCAGGGGGCTGGAAGTGTTGGAGTGGATGAAAGGGGTGGGCGGCGAATGCGCTCCGAACCAGATAACGTATGTCAGCGTGCTGTCAGCGCTGGGGCGGGCGCAGCAGTTGGGGGAGGCGGAACGGCTGTTTGAAGAGATGGCGGGGCGGGGCTTGAAGCGCAATGTGGTGGTGTTCAACACCATGATGAGCGTCTACGTCAGGTGGGGAGACCCTGCGAGCAGGCGCTCTCTCCCTGTTTATGACAAAATGGAAGTGGCCACCATTGGGCAGCCACTCGTGCTCTTGTGCCTGTTCTGTAAGAGGTTGAGAAACACCACTGGACCAGACTGTGTGCTGTTCCTGTCTTTCGAGCGGTGGCGCCATCCGCCCTCTTCTCCTTCGGGCCAAGTTGAAGCCCGCTCATCTCCAATGGCACTCGTCTACTGCAGTGTCCAGGTGCATGTGGTATTGCAGTTGATGCGTCACCCTCCTTCCTTGTTCCAGGTGCGGTCGGCCCCGCGAGGCGCTGGCTCTGTTCCCCCTCATGTCTGCCGCGAGCGTGCGCCCCGACTTCTATTCGTATGCAACCGCCATCAACGCGTGTGCCGCCAGCCCTGGTTGGCTGCCGCGCGGCATCTCCCTCTTCGAACAGATGCGCCGAGAAGGCGTTGCCCCTGATCCGGTAGTCTATAACACGCTCCTTAAGGCGTGCACGCGGGGGGGGCAGCCTGGGGAGGCTGTCCGCATCTTCCACCAGATGCAGGCGGACGGACTTGAGCCAACGTTGGTGGGCTTTAACACCTTGCTGGATGCTCATGCGGAGACCGGCGGGTGGCAGGAAGCGTATGGCGTTTTGGCAGAGATGCGGGAAGCGGGGTTCCGGTTGGACGTGATCAGCTTCAACACGCTGGTCAAGGCGTGCTGCCGCGCGGGGCAGCTGCGCGAGGGGCTCAAGGTGCTGCCGCAAATGAGGGCAGCAGGGCTGCAGCCAAATGTGGGGACCTTCACACTGCTCATAAGCGCGTGTGCCTCCGCTGGGTTGTCGGAAGAAGCGGCTGCACTCTTTGCGCAGCTGAAGAAGGAGGGGGTTCGGCCAGACGCGCTCGTGTTTGCAGCGGTGATCGATGCGGCGGATAGCCTAGCACGAGTTGAGGATCACCTGAAAGCGCTCGTAGAATCGGAAGTAACGCAGACGGGGCCGGTTTACACGGCCCTGATACGGGCATACAGCCGGCATGGGGAGCTGGCTAGGGTAGAGTCCGCCCTGGTAGAAGCGAGGCGGCGCTTGTCACCGCTAGACGTAGGACTGTACAATGCCGCGCTGGAGGCGTACAGCCGGGCCGGCAGGGTAGGGGACGTTGTGCGGGTGTTCGACCAATTAGAGCGCGACAGCTGTACAGCGGACGAGGTTAGCTACACGATGCTGATGGATGCGTTGGGCAAGTCGGGGCGCCTTTCTGCGCTCGTGGACACTTTACGGCAGATGCAGGGCGTCGGGCTCGCGCCGGGGCTGGTGCAGCTGGCGGTGCTGGTCGACGCGTTTGCCAAGGCGGGGGACGTTGACCGCGCGGCGCAGGTGTTTGACGAGATGTCCCTGTTGGGAGTCGAGCCGGGCGCGGCGGCGTTCAACAGCCTGCTGGCGGCGTATGCACGGGCGGGCCAGGTTGCACGGTGCATCAAAACGTTCCGACGGATGCGCAAGGTCGGGGTGCGGCCGACGGTGGAGACGTTCTCGGTGCTGATCGACGCGTTTGGCCGCGCGGAGCGGGTCGTGGAGGCGGAGGCCATGTTCCAGTGGCTGCTCAACGAGGGCCTGCAGCCGGACGCGGCCGCGTGGACCACGCTCCTGACCGCGTACGGGCGGGCGGGCCTCCCCGACGAGGCCGTCGAGTGCTTCCGGCGGATGCAGCGCGGGGGCGTGGCGGGGGACGTGGTGGCGTACACGGCGCTCATGAGTGCCCTCCAGCAGGCGGGGCGCGACGCGGACGCGCTCACCGTGTTTGACGAGATGGCCGCGGCGGGGGTGGCGCCCGACGCGCTGGCGCGAAACTTGCGCGTAGGTGCACTGTGCCGCCTAAAGCGGGTTGCCGAAGCGGAGCGTGGTGTGGAGGGGCTGCTGCAATGCGGGGAGGCCGACGTGCGCACCGTGAACGCTCTGGTGGAGGCCTATGCGGCGGAGGGGCAGGTCGAGGCGGCGCGGCGCCTCCTGGACCGGATGCGCGCAGCAGGGCTGGCGCCGGACGTGGTGTCGTACTCGGCCGTCATTACCGCCCTCGGGAGGTGAGCCAACGAGCGGGCGGAATGGAAATGTGCAGCAGTGGCGGGGCGGGAGGGTAGCAACTTAGCTTATGAGAGGAGTTCAACTCTGAGAGCAGTGGGCCGTCACAAGCCTTGCTTTCTCGCCGGCTCTTGGTGGGTGCTCACAGGGCGGCTGCCTTGCATACCGTGCAAGCTCCCTGAGGGGACTTGCACGACCTGCTTGTTCGCCAGACAAGGTCGTGAAGGATTGGCGTCTCGACGGAGGTCTCCCAATTGACCAACGGGTTGACCCAGTAACACAGTGGCTTCCTTTGTTTATTTACACTATCAGAAGCCTGTCGTCGGAACGGACGGCAATAGTCTGTTGTCCCGTACAGGTTCATAAAGTAAAATTGTGTCTCTCAAACCTTCCCTGTCGGGTCCTCCCCGAAGTTTGAATGAATTCTGATCGGAGATGGTTTGTCGGATACGGCATCTCTTTGACAATTGGCTCTTCTTTTCAGTACATTCCTGCTCTGGGCGACTTACAGTAGTGCCACTTTCCCGGTGGTCTTTTCGGAGCATCACTGACCCCGAGTTCCTCTGTGGGTCTGCCTGCAGGCTCCGCCGTTTCGACGAGGCCGCCGTCGTATTCGCGGCCATGAAGCGTGACAGCGTCACCGCGCGGCTCACCCGCCCCGCCTACGAGGCGCTGCAGGCGATCGTCAGCCGCGCCCCGCCGAACAGGGACAGCGTCAGCAACTGACGTACGCAGCAGCGGCGCCGGTTGTGCTAGAAAGTGGAGGTGCTTGCTGCTGTCATGCGGTAAGCGTTGCAAACCAAGGCGTGCACGCTCAGGTGCGGCAACTGTTGCCAGGGAAGAACGACGAGGCTGATTCGCTTGAGGCATAACACGGGCTGGGGCTGCTTGCAGACAGGGACCTGCGCCAGGTCCGTTTGCTTTTCCGCTTTTCCCGTGGCATCAAGGTTTTCACCTGGTATGCTTACCGTTCTTTCTGGCTCTTTACCTCAACTCATGCTCCGGCCTGAAGGTCTGTTCGTGTTTGCAGCCGCAGCTCGTTTTCGGTGGCTCTCTGGAAATGCCTGGCGGCCTGGAAGAGCGGAGCCTGGGCAGTCAAGGCTTGCTGAAGCCGGATCTGATTGCGTCGTTAACCAGTCTACCAAAGTGAGGGGTTGATTTGTTGAAGCGGTTTCCCCATCTGCCACGAAACTTGAGCCAACCCTCGTGATGCAGCGCAACGTCATGCTCAGACGGCTGGCGGTTGTGTTGCCACTTCGCAACATGCGTGTACTTCGCCCACACCTCAGATATGAGTCCTAAAGATATGGATTCTATCGCAACAATCGAGTGATGAAGTGTGAGATGGTGAAGGAAAAGTTCATCAAAATCATACCGGTTAAGGTGCATGCTCAAACAGGGCCGGAGCGTTATGTCATGGAGTGTCGGTAACACGACCCTTCCCGCAATTGACCGTCTGAAAGTGTGACCTTACATGCTGACATGCAAAGCTCTGCTTTCGATAAAAGAGTGACGGTCACGGGCCTTGACCGCGCAATGATACAGCATGCATATGTTGGACATCGAGTGGTCTTAACTTGAAGCTAGGTAACGGCCTCATGCCGCCGAGAGCCGGCAGTACAGACAGCGGTACGTATGCAGTACGTATGTGAGCAGCGGCTGTCCATGCAATGACATGGTCGAAGCTGCAGCACGATATTGGCAGGCTTAGCTTGTGCCAAGCGGCCTCGAGGCTCAGATTTGCGCTACGGGCCATGGATCGCATTTAATTACATGCAGACCGTACAAATCATGACCCTACTGCAGTACATCCGCTCAACGCGCAAGGGTACTATCTTAAGTATACAAACGCGATGACATGTACAATGTTTGCGCGAGCAAGTGTTCATCATACCATATGCTTGAACAAAAAGATAGCTGTCTAAAAGAAATATGCAGAAGTGATTCCAATTCAGCTGAGTCGATTAACAACATCAAAGTTGTAGAAAACAGAGTTGGCAAGCAGATATGAATTACGACAGTGCAACAAGTGCATGTTGCAAGATGCATCCTGCCTCGTGCACGTGATTCATCAAAGTGTTCAAATAATGAAAGGATCTGCCCGGATGTGACGAACCAATAACCATCCCCCTTCTCATATCTACATCACGCGGTCCAGATCTCGTTGATGTCCCGTGCGTGCTAGCTGACCGCTGTGCCTCTACCTTATCCGTGTATTGTACACGAGTACCGACTCGCTGAGCAATTCCGTCAACCATAGCCCAGTAACCACCCAGCTTAGCCTACCACAAAGAGACACTCTGTCTTTCCAACTTCACCTACCACTCGAAGGCCCAGCTTTCATTGGAATCCCTTCCAGAACCTACTGCTGTTGCTCCATCCTTACAGCGACAAAAAACGGCCAGCTCTGATGCCAGTAGTCGCAGTGATGCCCCTGTTGTCCAGTCCTATTGCCGTTTCTGTACACTTAATCTACCCTGTGCAGGCAATGCAACCACACGCGCCCCTGTGTAAACCACTGACTTCACCACCTGGCCCGTCACCTGGGCCCGCCCTGCCGTCAACTGCCCGTGTTCTCTTTATCCATGTCCGCTTCCCGCAGGCTGTTGGTGCGCTGCAGGCGCCACTCTGCGCTGCACCGCGCGCCGCTGCCGTCCACGCTGGTCTGCAGCGAGTGCAGGGAGCAGTCGCCGGACGACTCCTCCGTCTCGCGCCTCACGGGGTGCGGCTGCGGGTGCGGCGGCAGCGGGTGCGTCCACTGCCTCCGTCGGCGGCGCAGGCGCTGCTGGTAGCGCTTGACGCGCGCGTGGCTCGCGCTGAGCAGCTCCGCCATCTGGTGGCTCCCTGCACATGCAGGCACAGCCAGCGCTCAGCCCGTGGGCCAGTGTCTTACTTTGCTCTGCTGGGAAGCATGACGTCGGTTGTAGGCGGGGGAGTGAATGCCAGTTTCTTTAGAATGGGTCCGAACTCAGCAGATACGCACAAGAGGCTTCCAGACACTCTGCACTGCCATATCCCTCTGCCAGGTGGCACTGCAGATGTGATTTCCAGGTAGGACGCGCCATTCGCGTGCTCCTAACCTGACTGCAATAAATCACTGAACAAGCTTCGAGACAAAAGACGTCGGACCACCGATGCTTCAACTCCTGTTCGCAAGCCTGATGCAATGACTGACGAGATGACGAGTGGCCAGCCGATACACTGCGGCCAGGGTGATGCTGTGCATACAAACAAGCACGGACCCGTTGCTCGGTCCCTCAAACAGTAGGGACTGTGGGAGTCAGGAAGCTTCAGATCAAAGTGGGCAGCAGCAAAGTATGACTCCAAGTCAGTCAGCTCGCAATCAGGTGGTATCATCCACATGGTCCTCAGGCTAAAGCGGAGAACTTTGGTTGTAGCAAAACCGTCCTCAATCCTGCAGAAATCAAGCTCCAAAATTATCCAGCATTGCCTGTGCTCATGCTGCGACAGAGCTGGGAGCGTGGCCATACCGCCGTCCTTGGCGTCCCGCATCAGCTCCGCAAACGTCTCCTTGAGCGGCTCCCCGCCCCGCCCCGCCCTGTGCCTGCCGCGCAGTCCCCCCGCCGCCACGAGCGCCTCCCACAGCCGCCAGTACTCTGCGGGCGGGGGGCCTTCCTTGTCCCAGTCCTCCTCCTCCTCCACGCTGAACTCGTCGCCGTAGCTCTCGTCGCCGTACCCTGTCTCTCCATCGCCACCGTACCCTGTGCGCACAGCAGTCAAACAAGTCAGCATCCAACATCTACCGGTCCAGAGTTAAGACAGTTCCGGCAACTGCCACTACGAACGCGGTCTTCTCAACATCCAGTTCCCCCTCCATCTTAGCACTGGTGCACCTTGCCAAATAGTGGTATCGAACATAAGCAACTCAACGTCGGTTGCTCCTCCGCACACTCCAAGCACAGTACAGCTCAAGCATTTAATGATAGTCGCACAGCTAGGAGCAAGGCCGCAGCCATGACAAAATTCTGCACTTTGAAACAGCTCTGTCCGTCCTCTTGCAAAAAGATAAGTTCGACCCCCTACTCCAGAACCGAGTGTGCCCATCCGCGGGCCCCTCCCTCACCCAGTTCACTCCCGTATCCAGAGTCGTTGCTGTGGCTGTGCGTCAGCGTGGCGCTTGTGGGCCGGCTGCCGTGCCTCCCGTCCATTCTCTTTGCCACTCCCGCTGTCGCTACCCCAGCCGCCACCTCGCTCCGCTCCCCGCTTCCGTCGCCTGGTGCCCCCTTCTGCTCTGCCCCCCTGGGGGCCATGCTGCTCTTGCCCAACCTGCCTGCTGGCTCAGTCCCGCCCTTTTCCGCGGTCTCCGGCACCCCCCCCTCCCCGGAGCGCAGCTTTGACGGGCCCTGCTGGGCGGGGGCGCGCTCCTTGTGCTGCTCTGCCTGGTTGGCGGTGCGTGCCGCCAGGGGGGCCAGCCCGCCAGGGCTCAGGGGAGGCAGCCGCCGCACACGCCGCACCACGCGCTTGCCTGCGGGCCAATATACAAATTCAATGAGCAGGCGGGGAAAACGGATTGTAGAATCCACATGAGCTGAGCCTCTCGATCGATTGTGAGCCCCACGCTACTCATCACAGAGGCCAAAGGAAAGAGAACGCAAATCTTCATAAGCCTTCATTAGCAACAACAGTCCTGCTGGAATGAGGCTTTCGCCAGGTTCAAGAAGTTGAGTGGCGAGCAGTTTGCTGCTGTTCTGCACCTGTTGCGCTCCTGGCTGAGCCGCGCCCCGACCCGCCCCCACTGCTGTAGTAGAAGCCCTCCCCAGCTGAGCTCTCGCTGCCAGTGGCGTCCCCCCCCACTCCCACCCCCTGGCCACCCTCAGAGAGGAGGCCCCCGCGATACATCTCCCCAGTGTGCTGCAGATGAGCCCGGTTCTCGCTGCTGACGCCAGTCTCAGAGCCGCTCTGACCAGCATAATTCTTCCTTCGCCGTTTCTTTGCCTGCAAATCGCGTGTGCTCGGTACTTACTTGACGGTTGATTAGTTAGCACGCTTTGCTTGTGCCAATCCTCAAGTTTCACAAGCCGCAGCTGAAGCTTCCCAAGCTGGGCTAAGAGACTCAGTGCAGCAGAAGTGCCCCGGAAGCAACGCAAATTCTATGAGGATAAGGCTGATCGCCAATCAATGACAGCAGCTTCCACACATCAAATCAGTCAAATTTAGGTGCAGCTTGCGAGACCCACCTGGTTGCCATCTCCTTTCCAGCGCCACAGGCCTCTCAGCAAGATGTGCGACAGCTCCTTTCGCCTGTTGTTCTTGAATAACTTGCCCGCTGGTGACGCCCGGGGGGGAGGCAGCATTGGGCTTGCCAGACCCCCTTTGAGGGTGATGGTGCTCACCTTGACAGCTGGATCCTTGTCACTGCCTGCTCGTAAACCGAACACATTTCACCATGATGATGCACTGAATATAATACCCCAGTATTGCAACACAGATCTTGGTGGAAACCATGATAACATCGACCCTTCGCACTTGTCTCCAGTTCAGGGAGTCGCAGCACAAAAGGTCCGGAAAGGCTTGTGCTGATGGACACAATGATGGCACGAAAATCCCTTTGAGAAACAATGCCAATCCCAAGACAGGACAAGTCTCTTACAGGAACAAGTTTAAAAGATTGATATGACCAGGGTCTGGTCCAAAATCCCACCTTGCGCATCAGCTTCAACTTCGCATTTACCAAAACGGAGCTGCTTGACTCCCAGAGTGATGTCTCTCATGCTGCGGACCCTCCTGGCATGAAATGAAGGCACTTCGGCCTCGCCCAACGAATCCATTGCACAATGAACAACAATGAGCCGCCCTTTAACAACGGCTGCCTCCTGATTTACCCGACAAAGTCACTCCCGCAGATTGAAACCTAATGCATGGTCGATTCACCATTGAGCTTAAAGCCAGCATTCAGCTATCTACAAGGAGAGGAGAAGCACAGACTTCATGTCAGCTTCAGCCTTCAGGCTTGTGCTGCTCCAAATGGAAGGGTCAAGCCCGCCAAACCATGATGGGGCGGCAAGTGAGTCTATCATTGATGAGACCGAGTCCAGACCGCTCTAGCCTCTTGAAAGTTGGCCCCTTGCCAATGCGGCATGCCAATGCCAATGCCAGGGCGCATCAGCCAGGCTCAGGAGTCAGCTCGCCCATATGAGCAGCGATTGAAACCCTACTTTTCCGGGCGCGAGAGCTCTGCCACGTGGCATACTGCTAGTGGTTTGCTCTATAATGGGGTGCACCTGATTGGACCCGAGGCCGAGTGAATGGCGTCCTTCTCTCGGACGCAGTGCTTGCCACGAACCGGTGGCTGGACCTGGCCGGCAGAAATGACAGATGCACCGGTGCCGAAGGCACCCCACCGGCTGGACAGCCGGCAAAACTTGCTGGTCGCCTGGGCAAAACCGGCGCCCGGTGACTTAGCCCGTGTGGCCAGCCGGTACAAATGTAGGAGGGCCGGTAGACAGCCGGCACCGGTGAAAGTTGGTGGCAAGCCCTGCTCGGACGGTCTCTTGTGTCCGCTGATTGATCTCTGGTGTCAGATTTTGCAAAACCTACTTCCTCTCGAATTTCAGAGTTAAGGAAAGTGTCTTGTTTCCCAACGAGATTGGTACCCTGACAAATTTAAAATACCGTAGACGCGTCGTTTTCCTACTCCTGACAAATTTGTCGAGGGCGTGCGAACTGGCACATTTGACAAAATGGTTGGCACCGTAGTAGTACATAGTAACACAATGTTTAATTCCA